TGAATTAGAGATGTTGTGCTTGGGGACAATTAGCCCACTTTGGCACCTTCACTGTTGAACCCATAGGGTTATGGGTGAATACTCAGTGTTTACTGAATAGTCATTCATTCATTCATTCATTCATTAACTGGAATATTTATTTGTTTATTGGGAAAAAATCAGTGTATAATCAAAACCATGTTGTTCAGGTCCATGCAATTCAAGGGAGAAGGGTAATATTATCCAGCTGTGAGCTGTACTCTACCATTACACTAGACTTAAAGACTTTCCTCACATTAGGTGTGTTAAACTACTTGTCATATATGACAATGACCTTACAACCACCAGTAGGATCTCTGTCATCCCCTAGGACTGTCCATGACCTTTATTCGAAACCAATTGATCATTATAATGATGGACATGATATCCTCATTCAGAGCATGTAAAATTTAAATTTAAGCTTCTTACTCCCACTATCGGGCTCTGAGGCAAACTAGGGCTCCCTTTTATTCTTGTGAAGCCTTGGGATAGAGGAAAGACTTTAATTGTCAAACATTGCTGCTGGATTGCCATCAGCAGGATTGAGACAACTGACTGATTTTTTTATATTTTTATGTGTAAAATTAACCCTTTACCTAACAAAGGGTGGGCAAGTTGTCACCTTCTGGATTTTTGTGCATGTAACAGATGAAAATTGTATGAATCTACATGTAATTTCACCTTTCAACGTTTCTCACTCCTGGCTATGCTGGTTTGAATACACATCAGTGTGCTCACGTAGCACCTGGAGGGCTACAGTTTGCCCATCTCTGCTTCAATATGTGTGCATGGACTAAATGGGTTTGGCAAATAGTTAAAGAGAAATTAACCCCTCTTTCATCTGCTACGTATCCCATGGAGTCTGCAATACCCTAAAGGCATCATTTGCTATTGTTAGTCTTAAAAGACAAAAAGACAATGTTCTGCTAAGGCAATACATAACTTCTATTTTTAAGACAGAGTTTATTTTGAAAACTAACACTTACAGATGATCCCTGTGGAATGTTGCAGGCTCCATGCGATATATAGCAGATGAAATATGCAGTATTTTCCTTTAACAGCCTGCTAAACCCATTGTATTCCACACTGCAATACTGTATCTGTCTATTCAAATGAAATCTCGCATGAATAGGATTTATTCCCAAGTAAGAGTGCTTACTACACAGCCTAAGGATTAGAATCATTGACCTCAGTGAGAATTATGCTGGAGTAGCCATATAGCAGATTGTACTATTAATTGTTAATATATATCTAATATTTAATGCCTAACAAACTTATTTATTTGTAAATAAATCCAGCATATTGCAAAAATATTAAATGCTCTCAGTGACGCCTGTGCGTCCAGTTGTGTTCTTTATCTGAAGTGCAAAAGGGGTTGTTTTTAATTATACAGAATACACCAGCATTCACTATTTAAGCTATTAACTGTCAGTCAAATTAATTACAGCAATTTGCATTAATTTTTCTTAGTGCAGCTGTTTATAGAATATCTCGGGCAGGCTTATTTCAACAGACATATAATAATCCAGTCATCAGAAAATGAGATCTGTTTCTTCTATTGTGTTCTAATGCTCATGATGACTAAAATGCATTATTTTATGAGCAGGGCTGAGGAGGAAACGTAGCTGAACATAGATAACAATTAGCTCTACCAATTTTAGATGATCTAGTCAAAAATCAGAAGAGTATGGTATTTTCTTGCTATCTTTATAGGTCTGTTATATAGTAAATTTTACACCATTACTGGCTTTCCCTAGTATGAAACCTTCTGAAGTCCATCTTACCGTTATGTTTGCTGAATGACATTAGAAGCCCAGTGTTAGAACTTATATATCTGAAACCTGCTAGTAACAGAGTGCAAAAATACTGAATTAGTTCTGAAAATATAAACATTATCATAGAATCATAGAATAGTGAAGTTGGAAGGGGCCTATAAAGCCATTAGGACCAACACCCCCCCCCCGCTCAATGCAGGAATACAAATTGCAGGATATCTGCCCGGTGTTTGTCTAAGTTTCTCTTGAATGCTTCCAGTGTTGGAGCACTCACCACCTCTCCAGGTAGTTGGCTCCACTGTCTTACTGCTCTAACTGGTAGGATGCTTTTCCTGATATTTTTGAATGCTTCCAGTGTTGATAATTTGAGTCTGGCTTCCTATAATTTGAGCCCATTGTTGCATGTCCTACACTTGAGGATGATTAAGAACAGATCCTGCCCCTCCTCTCTATGACAGTCTTTCAGGTATTTGAAAAATGTTATCAGATCACCCTTCTGTCCTCTTTCTCAAGGCTAAACATGCTAAATTCTTTCAGTTTTCCTCACAGGGTTTGGTTTCCGCCCCCCAGATGATCCTTGTTGCCCTCCTCTGAACTTGTTCCAATTTGTCAGCATTCTTCTTGAAGTGTGAGGAGGCCTAATCAAGGTGAGGCCTAATCAGTGCTGAACAGAGAACTAGCACCTTGCAGAATTTGGAAACTATACTTCTGTGAATGCAGTCTAAAACAGCATTTGCCTTTTTTTGTAGCCTTTTTATAACTCCTAGTATGCTATCTAGTGTTCAGATTGCTTTATGTGGAGGACTGTAAGGACCACTAAGATTTCATATGGGTCTTTTGGCACAGGAATAGTAGTAAACAATTTTAAGACAAATCAGTTATTATGTCTGGGCTGCAATTTGAATGGCGTCTCTGTAGCTCATACCACAAAACAATATCCTCTAACTCTTCTCAGATTTGCATGATGATAAGTTCAAAACCAGCATAGGCCTTTGAGAACTGAGAGATATCTCTCTGATGATGAGCAGCATATGAGATAGAACCAGTAGATACACAGGGACATGGCCAGATTCCAAAACCCTTAGGAGGTATATTCTGCTGATGCAGGCATTCACACCATTAATAGCTACTGAGTGGTATATCATCAGGTTGACCTCAGGCACTGGCATAAAGGCACACTCTCTCATGACTCAAGTGGCAAAAAACACTGTAGTGAGCATATGGAATACACGAGAAAATGAAGCACGGGGCTAATCAATTATACTACAGCTGTTGCACAAAGGCTGACACTGACAACCACAAAATCAAATCAGGATACATTTGTTCTGAATCGCTGCCCTGATTTTCCGAATGTGCAGCTAATTACTATATTTAACTTGTTTTAAAATATGTATAAAATATTTTAAAGAACACAATAATGTAATGATAGCAAACACGGTTATCCTAGCACCTACAGAGAGCCATACTGTAGATCTGTTTGGGTGCAAAATGGTGTGTTGAATCCAAACTATCCCCAACAAGTTTCTGCCAATTATCACTGCAACATACACTGCAAATGAATCATTCAAATGGTAAAACAAATCACGATACCAGTTTGTTTCCAGAAACAATATTTAATGTACAAAGACCCCAATTTTACTTTCTTTGTGAAGTTTGACAGTAGTTGATACACATGAAATGTCTAGAAGATGGTAACTGACCAGTTCAAATTTGGAATTCACACATCCGGGATGACAAAAGGGAAGAAAAACACTGCTTAACCTTGATAATTGGACTGATAAGTAGTTTTAGATGGCAGATTTTGTAGTTTTTCCCTGTCTCCAGCTAATATTTATATGGATCACCTAAAAATATTAGGCCTCAGGGCTTTGATTCTGCTCTACAAATGCAAAAATGCCATAAGGACATACTGCTGATCAGGACTGTCAAATGCATCCCTTTGGAAGGTGGGGGGAATAAATTGCAATATATCCATTTTGACTTGGTTAAACCCTCCCAATTAGAATTGGATCTGGAACAACTGTTTTGTTCAAACTTGGGAAAGGAGTACGACAAGATCCCTCTGCTTACTTAAGTTATATGCAGAATACAACATGAGAAAGGCAGGACTGGATGAATCCCAAGCCGGAATTAAGACAACCAGAAGAAGTATCAACAACCTCGGATATGCAGATGATACTGCTCTGATGGCAGCAAGTGCGGAGGAATTAAAGAACCTCTTAACGAGGGTGAAAGAGGACAGTGCAAAAAAAGGTTTGAAGCTCAACATAAAAAAAACCAAGATCATGACCACTGGTCCCATCACCTCCTGGCAAATAGAAGGGGAAGATATGGAGGCAGTGACAGATTTTAAGTTCTTGGGCTCCATGATCACTGTGGATGGTGACAGCAGCCATGAAATTAAAAGACGTCTGCTTCTTGGGAGGAAAGCGATGACAAACCTAGACAGCATCTTAAAAAGCAGAGACATCACCTTGCCAACAAAGGTCCGCATAGTCAAAGCTATGGTATTTCCAGTAACGATGTATGGAAGTGAGAGCTGGACCATAAAGAAGGCTCACCGCCCCAAAATTGATGCTTTTGAATTGTGGTGCTGGAGGAGCCTCTTGAGAGTCCTCTGTACTGCAAGGAGATCAAATCTATCCAATCTGAAGGAAATCAACCCTGAGTGCTCACTGGAAGGAATATATCCTAAAGCTGAGGCTCCAATACTTTGGCCATTTCATGAGAAGACTCTCTGGAAAAGCCCCTGATGTTGGGAGAGTGTGAGGGCAAGAGGAGAAGGGGACGACAGAGGACAAGATGGTTGGGCAGTGACATCGAAGCTACCAACAAGAATGTGACCAAAGTCTGGGAGGCAGTGGAAGACAGGAGGGCCTGGTGTGCTCTGGTCCATGGGGTCACGAAGAGTCGGACACGACTTAACAACTAAACAACAACAACAAACCCTGCCAACAATGGGGATGGACTGTCCATTCACCATTCCTCCGGAGACGCGCGCTCGATAGAGCCTTCCTATTGCGCAGTTGTCTGCAATGGGTTAGCCACTCCTGGCAGGAGGCGGGATGACAAGCCTCTCTGCCAGAACGCAGATGACTAACCCATTGCAGACAATGACATGATAGGAAGGCTCTGTTGAGTGCGCATTTGTGGTGAAATGGTGAGTGGATAGTCTGGACCCATGGGGGTGGACCCTCGCTATTTCCACCTGTGGAGGGATATTTGTATTCATATAAGAATACCCCCATCTCTAATCTCAAAATATTTATTAACTCAAGGAAAAGTCATTTGCTTAACACAAGCCCTTCTCTTCCTGATGTTGCTGTGGAGATTATATTAATTTAAGACAGTTGGTAGTCATATCCAAACCAGAAAACCATTGTTCAGCCTGGAGTTTCTAACTCAAAAATAAGCTCACTTAGCCACTGGGATATATAGATTGAAGATTATTACATTTGGACCAGAACAGTCTTTAATACCACCTCATAAACTACTAACAATGACTGACTTCTAGTACAACATAAAGAGTTGTATTTGGAAATAAAGTGAAAGTAAGACAGGGTATCTGTCAGAGTAAGACAGGAGGGCCTGAATGAACAGTCGGACACAACTAAACAACAACAATACAGGGTATGCATGTAAAAGTGAATAAGCACAACAGGGGAGGCTTAGTTAGGGAATGGATCAGATTACAATTTGGCTTATGCTAAGCAACAGGATTTTAGCCTGAGTCATAGTGTGAATCTTTAACTGAGGCTTCACTGAAGTTAAAGCAGTACCAATGTGACTCAACATGAAGTGATATCTTATTTTAAAAGATAAAATAAAATAAAATAAGCATCATCTCCTGCTTTTTTATTCCTTATAGTGAGTACAGCAGGAGTCTACCTCCGATAAAACTTCATAACGTTTGTCCAAGTTTGTTATAGCCTTGGATCACACTTGGAATAAGAGCATTTTTAAGTATTTTGTAACACTGTGTACTTACAGCTCTTGCCTAAGCCTTCTGATTTTTGCTTTGGCATCTGCTAGCTCCACGGACAAGTGTTGCCTGCTTTCAGTGCGTTTCATGCCTGGTGACCCGCAAGGTGATTGTGCTGCTGACGCATGAGGTAGAAAATGAAGAGAGTCCCGTTCTTCAGAAAGTTCTACAATAGTCTAAGTTATAAAAAGAAAAATGGTTTTCAAACAGGTGTGTATAAGCAGGAATATAACAGTCTTTGTATAAGACCAAATGTACTATCTCAATGAGTTAAGCAAGAGTAATGATTGCATCTGACGTACAATTCAGCCCCAACTCAACAGTTTAATGTATCACTGACTTCACCAAGAGATATACTTAATTCTCCTATTCAAGTCAAATGTCCAAAACAAGTAACTATTTTTAAAATGATAAGTGGGGCATTCCAACAGTCACAAAACATTTCTAAAGCAAGAATATATGGCTCTGCCCATATGATCTGACAAATGTTTGGTTAATGACTAGGCATATTAAACCATGATGGGTACACTACTTTTCCAAACCCAGAGTCCTACACATGTTTTTGACCATAGCTCCCAACATTCCCGATCACTGACCACATAGGTTACAAGAGTGGAAGTCCAAAACTGGAGTATAACAAGTGGGAAAAGAACAAAGACAATGTCAAGGTAGAACCCAAGACAAAAAAAACCCGCCTGACCTAATAAGCTTTACAATCTCATTGCTACATCTACTCTGTTATGAGACATGAATGTGAACATTTGAGAACATGTTGCTTCCTGGCAAATGCTCACTAGGAAATACCTTTCAGACAAATCACTGACAAAGCTGTATTAATAAGGGTGGAAAAATAATGAACACCTTGGGAGTTCAGTAGGCTGATATGTCATAATAGCTGCTACATATGCTTTGATTGAAGATAAGACTTGCTGCAGTAATTTTTAAAAAGCCCTTGAAGCATCGTAACAAGAGAATGAGTTACATTCCTGTAGTTTAAGCAAATCTGAAAAATGCACCCTGAAAAAAATTGAAAAATTCAGTCCATTTCATAGCGTAAAATTGTCTTGATTGTAGATTGTTTCATAGAGGCCTGTAAGATGTCCAGATTTTGAGGAGGAAGCTCACCTCAGACAGATGCTCCACAATGCTAAGCAAACAGTACTGAGATCTCAAGAACAAGTTGTGAACAAGTTTCACAAGGCAGAAGTAGCAAGGTTGTGAACTCGCTGTCTCAGTCTTCACTGTTGTAAGAACAGCACTTTAATCCTCCTCCTTTATCTTTACTACCATCCTCGACAGCAGACAGAAAGGAGGTAAGAGAAAGAAAAGGTTCCTTCCAACCAGTTGTGAAGGAAAGTGTCCCTTCACAATCAGTAGCCCACTCCTGCTCTGCTACAAAAATAAATGACATGTAGTGTTGCAGGGTGGCAGACAATCATGTGAGGGTAATCCTATCATTTCAAAGCAATCATGAAGTCTCAGTTCAACACTTCCCATTTGTGTTTGCAATTCCATGAACAAGTTGAGATAATCCACCAAATCCTGACACTAGAAAAGGGGGCCTTAAACATATTATGAACCAACATTGCCAAGATCACAGACCCCCCTCAAGGCAAAAATCTTGTGTCAAGGCCAAGAGTCTATGTGAGTCCCTAAGAACTGATTACTCACCATGAAAAAAAAAGATCTGAGACTTTTCCTCATTGACACAATGTTCTAAATCCTTCAGTAGGATATGGGTGAGGTTTACATTAGTCAGAAAACAGGACTGAGAGTGTGTGACAATTGTTAACATACTGTATGAGAGAACAATCACTACTATCATAAGCAATGAGATGACAACTAGTGTCCTACACTGGCAGTAACCAGGTCAACAGAAAGCATTTTAAACTGAAGCAATTAGCTGAGGACACAAAATGGAGATAACAGCAGCAAGCTGGGTAAACTGTGATGTGGAAATAACCATTCCCTGCCAGAGCAGGAGTGATGCAGTCAAAGCAAGCATTCAAAGCTCTGAGTTTTATGCAACAATTCATTTATTTACACTGCAGATAGAACAGCATCCCTCACATTTGTATTTCCAGTATCATGAAAATGCTGGAAAAAGAGCTCTGTGTTTTTTTGAGAGACAGTCACCCTATAGCATTTTTTTCTGACAGCACAGAGGCTTCTTCTAGGAAACACGCTGAAGGTCAAGTATATCAGAACCTGCCTACAAGAGAGAGTATAATGAAACTTACAGCAGTCTTGATGTTTTAAGGCATATAGGCATCACTGATGATGTTGCACCAGATCTTGAGAAAGGCACACTAACTGGCCAAAACAGAGGTGGGAACGGCTTATTAACAGTAGATGGGATGATACTGACTCTGAAGGCATCATGCTGATATGTTTATTTATTTATTATATAGGGCATGGTCAGAATCTGTGTTTTGACCTGTGAGAAGAACAGTTTGTGGAAGTTGATCAAAGTACTTCCCTTGTTTATAAGGTCTCTTCTGATTAAAATGGAGTACTCACTTGCTTACTCACTCACTCACTCACTCCACCCGGCTATCTTTCCTGTAATATTTATAAAGGACCTAGAATGCACTAGGCTTTAAATACAGAGACAGACACAAGAAAATAAGGCTGTCCTGCCAACTTCATTGACACTACAATATGAAACAAACAATAAGGGAAAGAGAACAGACATAACAGTAAAGGTTCATACATCTGGAGAAATCTAATGAGAAAACAAATGCCAGAATATCCTCAAACAGACATGAGTGAAATACAGGTTTTAAAACATATTAAAACTAAAGATGACAGTCACCAGGTTTCCAAGTTCCTGGGAATAGAGAGGAACCGTTAGTGAGAAGAAAAGTAACAGATGGAAACATAAGGGCCAGCACAGAAAGAGAACATTTAATATTAAGAAGCAAAAGAGAGAGAGAGAGAGAGAGAGAGAGAGAGAGCGAGAGAGAGAGCAAAAACAGATACAATATTTTATAAATAAAGATTTATATAGAAGCCTAAAAACTGTGAAATGTTAGAAAAAAAAGAAAGCCACTGAAGAGAGCAACCCTGCCCCATCTCAGATTATTTTAGAATTACTAAACAGCTTCAAGTCACAAAAGGTAAAGGTTCCAGTCTCAATATTAGTAAAGCATTCCTTAGTTTTCATATTTGTGTGCGTGACAGTACCCATTCCATTTCCTTAATAATTAAAAACATTCTGAAAGAACAAAATGAAAAACTGGCAAAACTCATACCTCAGAGTGCTCATCTCGTTCATCTATTAGTCTTTTTAAATGCAATGCCATATTTTTAAGGAGAGGTTCAATATAGTCTTGGGACAAAGCACTGTCATCCATCCACTGGAGGTCAAACACGTTTTCCTGATTATGAGTTACCTACAGAGTATAAGATCTCAATGAAGTGAAACTGTTCGATTTAAATCTGGAGGGGGGGGGGACACACACAGTTCACCAGCTTTATGCATGCCCACCTATTTTTATTACCCACAATTCTGTTTTGCTGAAGGGCAGGGATTTCCTTTTTAGAGTAAACAATTCAGTGATCTGAAAAGTGCAATTCAGCTTAAAAACAAGATTCTTGCTCCCCATAACAGAACTATGGCCCTTTTCTCTCTGCCATGGGATCTTACTTATCATTGTCCATAGTTTATTAAAATTGGTTTTCCTAAAATCCGGTGTACACATGTTCTTCCATTTTGCTTTCTATGAAATCAAGAACTCATGTAGAACATGGTCACTTCCCCTAGAGTGGTCGGAAGACCAGATGGGCGGGATATAAATAAAATAAAATACAGTAAAATAAAATAAATAAATAAATAGAGTTCTCCTTACTGCCACTTCATCCACCAAGCCATCTCAAGTCAAGGACAGCTAATCCTCTAGTTTCTTACTCCAAATTTTGAAGAAGAAAATTATCAGTAAACCAGGAATTTCTTGGAAGGGCCATGTCTGGCACAATTTGCCTCCCAACAGATATCAGGATATTTAAAATATCCTATTACTAATAGATCTTGCTTTTGGAAATTCTTGCAATTAGTTTTTTCAAAGGGTTTGTCCTCATCTTCTCCTTAATTGGGCAATTTGTAACAGGTTCCAACTACTGTGTTCCTTTTATTTTTCCATATTAATCCAAATCCTCTTATTTTCCTATGCAAGAATATGCATTTTTACCTATAAAGCAACTCCACCTCTCTTTTTATTCTTATTATATTGCCCCCATTAGAGCTGCTTCTCCTGTTCCTCTTATTGTGCAATAGCCTACATTTGTTTTTACCTCTGAGTTTGCATCTCCCTCCCCATTCCAATCCAGTTAAAGCCCCCCCCCCCCGATGAAGTTCTTCATGCTGAGGCCAAACACATTCTTTCAAATTCATGTGAGGTGCCACACATCACTTAGCAGCAGTCCATCTTCCACGAAGTGAAGTCCATGCTCCCAAAATCCAAATCCCTCACATCAGTACCACCTCCATAGCCAGTTATTCACTTAAGTATTTCCCTTTTCCTTTCGAGTCGTCTTCAGCGTATGGAGATGGATGAGAAAACTATTCCAAAGTCCTTAAGTCTCCTTCCCAAAGGTTCAAAATATGGTATGATTTCTCTTGGCTGTGTCACTTGTCCCCACAAGGATGAAAAGAAAGGGATGTATATCCATGGGTTTTTGTGAGTCATGGCAATTTTTCTGTTAAGTGCCTGATCCATCTTCCAGGGACACAGTATACCCAGCAGGTTCATGGATCTTCTCAGAATATTTCAGTTTCAATCCTATGCAGTTGGGAATCTCCTACAACAACTACTCTTCTCATCTTCTTTTTGTAGAGAGTGACTTTCCTTGGCCAAGTTTCACTCATGTCCTTCCACAAGGTTTTTTTATGTTTTCCTTTGCATTCTATCTGTTAGACTTCTCTTCAAGAACCTGAAAGCAGTTTTGCAGTGTTGCTGGTGAAGAGTGCCTTCTTTTGCTTCTAAATGTGACCCTTTTCCAAGGTGCTTCCTCCACGTTTATCCTCTTCTTAGCATTCATCCTCCTCTTGCTGTTCTTCTACCTCCAGTGTCTCTCTTGGACGCTGCTGCTCAAGTTCTATTTACAGTGGCGCCCCGCAAGACGATGTTAATCCGTTCCACTGAAATCACTGTTTAGTGAAAACATTGTCTTGCGAAAAGCGTTTCCCCATTGGAATGCACTGAAATCTGTTTAATCGCCCATAGGGAAGCCATTTTGCGGAGCCACCGATCAGCTGTAGAAATTGTCGTCCTGTGAAGCATTGGTCCCAGGGGGAAAAAAAAACACTGTATTGCAAGCACAGACCGAAACATCGTCCAGCGAAAATCGCCCATAGGAAGCACTGTTTTGCGAAGTGCAATGGTGATCGCAAAACCTCATCATGCGGATTTGTTGCTTTGCGGGGTAATCGTCTTGCAAGGTACCACTGTATGTACTTTTCACTTTCTCTTGTAGCCTTATCTGTGGTCACTGGCTGCTCCAGTTCTGTTTTTTTTTCCAACACTACAATCAGTTTGGAGTTGCTGCATGTGTACATTATGTTGTTTCTCAGGATGAAGATAAACACTGCACGCACGTTGCAGGTCAACACCACAGAAGTGCCTATTCCTTCCATGATTACTTTTACTTTTTTCAGTTTCTCTACGAGTATCCTTTGCTTTGTCTTCTCTGCCTTGAAGTATGCTGGGAAAGTCCACTAGTATATGACTCTCTACCTGAGTCTCCTTGGTCTCCATTTTCTTTTGTCTCTTTCTCCACTAGATCCTTTTCTTAATATTACTCCCACGTCAAACTCCTGGTTGCTCATCCCCTGGGATTTGTCTCAGTTTATTCCTCTAATGCTCTATTAAGAATCAGCAAACAGAAATTTTGCTGACTCTCAATTTTATGAAAGAAATATTCCTTAACTACTACTTTGAAGCTGTCATAATCAGCAAAGAATAGCAGAATGCATCATTCAATTTTTATTATGCAATAATCCAATTATGGTACTCCTTATAATTTTTTATCATTGCATATACTGTACCATTTTGTCACTATCTTCCCATAGCAGATTTTTAGCTTTTTAAGGTTGATAAAAGTGTTACTTCATCAGTTTCTCCATCCAGAACGTGTCCATCCTTGTCCCACTGATACCCCTTCAGCTGGTAATCTTGCACTGAATCCGAAGGATTCCACTCATTTAAAAGTACTTCCACTTGCTCTAGTAGAGCTCTTCTTTCAATTTCCTGAACACTGTGTCCACTGCAATCATTTACCCCCCACAGCACCTCTCCGGCTTTTCCCAAATCATGCCTTTCTCACTATCCTTCCCTTACACTATTATTACAAATACACCTTGAACACATATTGGCTGCTCTCCAGCTTTGAAACACTTTTCCCCAAGCACTACCAAAGCCCAAGCCTAATATTTCCTCAGACTAATGCAGGTCTATCCTCTACATCTATCTGATGATAAAGAAAAAGTGAGTGATTTAAGCAACATTTTAAACAAATATTCTAATGCTTATCTTTAAAACGCAGTTACCAATACTCCACTTCCAGAACAATGTGAATAATTTCAATTAAAGCTTAAGATATCTGTAGTTTTTAAAATATTTCAGTATTTCCTGGAATACTTTAAATTTATGATATCTTACTTTAGCTATCACCGTGCACACATCCTAAGAAGAGATGAAACTACACTTCTACATCCTGCTGAGCACCCTGCCATTAAAATCACTAGGATAAGAAATAAGAATGTTGTCTTCCCAGTAAATTTCCTTTTCTTCTTAGCGGTTACAGGGAAGGGATTAGTGTCACACTCTGGTGTCTGATTTTAGGAATAGATTTTGTCAATACAATAGAACTTTAGCAGCTTGCAAGAACAGCAGCTGATCTAAGCACAGGTTTCCAACTTGAAGGAGATGTGAGAGCAATTTTATCTGTAGACCAGCTATAGTGAGCTTCAAAGTGATATATCACATCTAGCTGATTAGACTGGTGTAAGTTTCAGATAGGAAAGGAAGATCTCGATAATACTGAGCAGATAAGTGATGGCAGGAAAATAAACTTTCCTTTCTCTTATTAGCATGACAAAACAGACTCCCACTTGCCTTTAATACAATGTTCCAAGTTTCCCCCTACCTGTACTTCAGCTACTGTTCCATTTGCTTAATGGCCCTCAGAAAGCTATGGAGTCATTTCCCCCTACCTGTACTTCAGCTACTGTTCAACTACTGCTTAATGACCCTCAGAAAACTATGGAGTCACCTTGGCTCCAGGAGTTATGAGTCAACGTTTAGGTTGTGTCAACAGTCAAGGTAATCTTTGAATTTAAAATTCAATTGAGGTACCTATGAGAACTGTAACCATTTTAGCATAACAATTCCAGAAAAGGCTCAGGAGACCATTTAGATCAGGGGTCTCTAAACTACAGCCCATGGGCCATATCCGGCCTGCATTGCCATTCTGTCTGGCCCGTTGCCTTCAAGTGGTGGGCAGGTGTGCGTGCATGCGTGTGTTGTGTGTGCGTGGGTGGGTGTGCATGCATCCATGCACTGGGGGGTAGCAGGCTGTGTGCACACGTTTCCTCTTCCTTCAGCCTTCAAAAACTTTGAAAATATCCGATGTAGCCCTCACTGTAAAAAGTTCGGAGACCCCCGATTTAGATCACTGAGCTTCCACAATGCCGATCCTAATAGGTCTACAATGGCTTCAACAAGTAGGGACTGCCCTCAGATGAATTCTAACTGCACTATGTTCTTTTTAACATGCTGCCTGTATAAATGTTAAAGTAATGATTTACATTCTGCTGAATAAAAGATAACCAAGATACTTGCTTTCCTCCAAATCCCTTTGGATGTAAGAATTGCTTTACTGAACAAATTCACGAATTATTTTAAACAAAATAATACCTCTTGTATGTGGGCGGCAACTGCTGCTCTCACATCAAAATCTAAACTCTGGATTCTTTCAATGAATTCTTCTTTCCTCTGACACTAAAACAAGCAGATTAATAAAGATTTACAGCTGGCTTAAATTATCACAACATTATATAAAAAAGAAGCCAACAGTTATATAGATATATGTTATTCACTAGGTACCTTTGCTTCTGTCGAATGACTTTATGACGAGAGCTATTTTAGACACACTTGACCATTAGATTTATCAATGACAAGAGTCATTAGGCATTATACCCAATTCTACACCTTACAAGACTGAAATAATGTCATAGTAAGGCCAGTTTTACTGCTTCTACTATACATCAAAGGGATAAGTAGGATTTTTATTTTCATTGATCAGTTTCAAACTCATCCCTACTGCTTTTTCCTTTGGATTCATATCACTTTAAATAATAGCTTGTATTTAAAGGCTGTGAATTCCCAAATGGCAATCTGTAAATGAGCACTAATACAGGCAGCTTGTGGCCAGAGCAATGGACCACCACATGAAATTTTGGGGTTAAGCTGCCTCTCCAAGCCTGGTCCATAAGCCACATCTGCAAGCTCTTCAGGCCTTACACAATAGGTGCAAGAAAAAATACCAAACTTCTAACAAAGGTTAGCAGTGATTAAATCAAGTAGTTAATCACAACAACACATTACTTTAACTTTGCACTGAACCAGGAACATGCAGGACACAATATACTCTCCACAACCTAAGCTCAGTCAGGTGAGTATGAATATAACGAACCATTCAGTAAATAAGCAGACTTACCTGAACTGCACAGCCAAGCAAGAGAAGCAGCAACTTTTTTACTTCTTCAGTGCCTTGTTCTGAAAATATTTTTAAAACAATATATTATATGTGCATTTGTAGGTAAGTATTAAACAGATTCTCTTCCTGTATACAATTGCTTGTGCTAGCACTATTAGTCTATACTGGATAACAGATACACTATATGACATGAGTACAGCCACGTAGTATACAGACTGTGCTGTAACACTGTGCTAGATCATATGGGATGACTACCTACCCTGTTTCCCCTAAAATAAGACCTAACCTGAATATAAGCCCTAGTATGATTTTCAGGATGCTTGTAAAATAAGCCCTACCCCAAAAATAAGCCCCAGTTAAATGAAACCTCGCCCTCCAGCAACCAGAAGATGATGACATAACTGTATTTGAATAAATGTAGATTGTGTACATAAAAAAAATAAAACATACCCTGAAAATAAGCCCTAGTGCATTTTTGGAGAAAAAATTAATATAAAACCCTATCTTATTTGTGGGGAAACATGCTAGCTGCACACTCTGTTATACAGGGCCTCACATGGTGCTTATGGGAAACCCACAAGTAGCAGCACTCTGCTGCTTATGTTTCCCTGCAACTAATACTGTATACCAAGACATCATCTATTCTACTGGAAGAAAGAGAGAAGCTATGGGATAGTGTTACAATACAATGCTGAGCCGAATAGAGCTGCTCTTGCATGGCCATGTGGATGAGGCACCTCCTTCTCCGATGCTGGCACTATAACTCTATATTCTGCTGGTGGTGTGTAGAACATTGAAGAGGCCACAATTTCAGTGTCTAGGAACTTCATGAAAGAGTGTTTGGGATACAAGTAGGTTGCCACATACAGTGGAACCTCTACTTACGAACGTCCCTAGGTACGAACATTTCAAGATATGAACAGCTCTGGCCACAAAATTTTGCCTCTACTTGCGGCTGGAGCTTCAAGGTACGAATGGGAAAAGGCAGGGGGAAAGGGTGGGAAATTTAAATTTGTTAACCGTTGGTGGTGAAGAGGCTGCTTCTTTGTAGCTCTTTCACCCCAATGGTTAGGAAAAGGGAGCTCAGCCTCCCGGGCTTCCAGCGCTGCCACAATTGGTAGGTCTACTCATGAGTAAGCACCACCAAAGGCCCTGGGCAGGGCTCGTGGATGGGGCCTGTGGCAGAGGCGCAGGAGGAGGGAGAAGCAGCTGGGTGCCAGTCCTTTGGAAGCCCGGGACGCTGGCACCCAGTGCGGCAGTCGTGGCAGCTTTGGAAACCTGGAAAGCCTCCGCAAAGGCTTCGGACTGGTAAGGTGCTGCTTTTTCCTTTTAAAAAAGTTCTTCTGGGTGGGTTTTGGACGGTAGGTTTGGGTGGGGAGGATATTTCTGTGTTATTTTGTGTGTGTGTGTGATTTTTTTGCAGTCCCAGTGTGTGACTTGCTCCAATGTTTATTTTTGGATTTGTTTGCTTTTGGGTGGGGTTTTTTCCCCAGTCCCAGCGTGGGACTTGCTCTGTTTATTTTCATGTTTTTGTGTGATTTTTTTTTCTTTGGCCAGAACGGATTACAGTGGAACCTTGACTTACAAATGTCCCTACCTACGAATGATTCGACTTACGAACGGCTCCATTTGCAAAAATCTACTTCGACTTGTGAACAGAGCCTCAACCTACAAACAAAAAAAGGCAGTGGAAAAGGGCGAGAAATTCAAATTTCCCGACTTTTTTTCGCTCCATTCCGTTGGTGGCGAAGAGGCTGTTTTTTTGTCCCAACAATTAGGAAAAGGGACCTCCAGGAGGTCTCCAATGGCGGTGGGGAAGCTCCCAAGGCTTTCACGCTGCCATCGGAGACCTCCTGGGAGTCCGACGATCGCAGCGGCGGGGTAGCAATTTTAAATTTCCCACCCTTTTCCGCTGCCACGATTGGACCAGGAGGTTTCCGATGGAGGCGGGGAAGTCCTGGGAAGAGGCACGCATGCATGCCCAACTTACAGGGAACCTTGGAAGACAGTATTATAAATAATTCCAGCTTGAATATTCATGCCTCTGTCGATAATTCTCCTGATCTGGCTGGTCATCTGGAGAAGTGAGGTACACCACAGGTTTCATTTGATGCTCCCAGATCACATAAAGCTCCTAAATCTTTTGCCCTCCCTCAAATCTGAACAAATTCTTGTTGAAGTGGGCCACATAATTCATTAACCACTAGGCTTTAACTATTTTCATATCACCATAATGACTGCTAGTCTTGTGCCAAAACATAACTCACATCTCCTGACATCTGCCCATCCGGTTCAAACTGCCTTAAATCTTTTTATATCAAATGCAGTGAGAGGGAGGAACTGGCTGTGATCACACTGGGGCAGGATATGAGCACTGAAGTTGTTTAAATAGTTAAATGTGAGATTAAACCCAACATTAAATAAAGGAGAAAGATACAGTACAGTGGTACCTCGATTTACAAACTTAATCTGATTTGGAACGACATTCATACGTCGAAAAGTTCGTAAGTCGAAGTACCATTTCCCATTGAAATGCATGGGAACAGAATTAATCCATTCCAGCACTTCAAAAGGCAAAAGGGCAGGGGGAAAGGGCTAGAAATTCAAATTTCCCGCCCTTTCTCCCTGCCTTTTTGGCTTCGGAGGTCTCAAACGGCTTCCTCCGATGTCGGGGGAGAAAGCCCTTTGAGACCTCCGAAGGTGCGGATCGCGGTGGCAGGGACCCCCCAGGGAGGTCTCCCATGGTGGCAGGCAAGCCCTGGGAGACCTCCCTGGGGGTCCCCGCCACTGCGATCGGCTCCTTCGGAGGTCTCAAAGGGCTTTCCCCCCCGACATTGGAGGAAGCCGTCTGAGACCTCTGAAGCCAAAAAGGCAGAGAGAAAGGGCGGGAAATTGAAATTTCCAGCCCTTTCTGCATGCCTTTTTGCAGGGAGCCATTTACAAACAGCTCCATTCACAAAAAAATGGCACTGACTTGCGAACAGAGCCTCAACCTCATTCGTAGGTCGAGACTCTGTTCACAAGTCAATGCCAATTTTTGCCAACGGAGCCGTTTGTAAATCGAAAAATTCATGTGTAAGGATGTTCGTAAGTCGAGGGTTGACTGTACTTGCAGTTTAACAATTAGTTAGCTAACAATCCCAGCTAAGATGAGCGTATTTTTACTATCAAACAACATAAAAAGGGAATTAGATTTTTTTTACACTGTTAGGTGCAGAACATTGGGACTTCTAATAGTTTCACCTCCTCTACTACAAATACTGGCCATTTATCCTCATTACTTTTTTACTGATTCAGTTAAAGGATTTTTGAAAATCTAAATATTTTAGCAATCCTGATATATTCTTCCCCCCTTTTTGCTGTCCTCATTTTGTATGCACTAAAAGCTCAAATCAGTAAATCAATAGATAATTACAAGTGTGGAGTAGAACAGATTAAAAGCCTATTTATATATAGCAGGAACTAGGGCAGCAGTAAATGCTGTAGTCATTCATTCTAGAGAGTATTATTTAGTCTAGAGGATGTTATATTCTCTAGACTAAATTCTTATCCAACCTTTTCTGAACAGTTAGTTTCTGTCCAGATTCAATCCTCTTGGAACGTAAGAAAGAGGTAAAACTTATTTGAAGCACAAAATATTAGCACAGTGGCCTACACCTGTCAAATTTCTGTTGAACCTTCCCTCTGTCTTCAACTCAATGAGTAGTCTCAGACAAACTACCTTGTCTTTCTCTGTCTCAGAACTCCCATCACAATCTGGGGAATAACACCAATTTATTTTACAGGGTTGTTGTACGCATTATAACTCAACAATGAATGTGAAGCCATTAGAACATTTGAAAAAAATACAAAGTCATTATTAAACATTCAGAACTCATTGTAATGGATATATTTCCCTCTTCCCTCATGCTAGGAAGCTTACAGGAGTACATATTAATACAAGACTTACCTGAAAAGGGATTTTTGCCAATTATTAAGACATTTGGCAAAGGCATCATAATCAGTTGCTGCAATGTATCCTATGGAAACAAGTATAAACATTCCAAGTGTCAAAGAAAAGATGACTGGTATATTCTATAGACATTTAAAACCAAAAATAGCTTTAACATAAGCCAATCAAAACAATAATTTCTAATTTAGAATATACACCAGCATTCTATAGTATTAGTCTCTTAAATGTTTCAAACAATGTAAGATCTATGTTTTACTATTTTATTAATAAAAATATAATTTAACAGACTGCAGGATAGCGTATATGAAATGAAATCACATTGAAACAGCTAAACAACTGGACTACATTAAAATCTTTAAAAGATTTGGAAAACTTGATTGCACCAGACTACTCCACAAGCAGTTTATTTCCCCATGTGATCACACCTTAAGTCCTCTCCTTCAATTCCACAAAATGTGCAGCTCTCAGTGATGGGACAGAGCCCCCCACTTAAACAAATCTTAATGACTGGGCAGGTATACATGGGGAAAGGCACACCCTCAAATTTCCAGGTCCCAAGGTCTTAGGTGCTAAAGGTTTAATTCAGGGGTCTCAAACATGCGGCCTGGGGACCATTTGCGGCCCCCCAGATGATAGTTTGTGGCCCTCACCTTGCTTGCCCCCCCAAAGCGGCCACACATCATCTGCTGTCAAGAGTAAAAAAAAGCATTGCCTCGCTCGCCGACTCTCTCCCAAGACAGCACCTCTTGCACCCTCCATCCAGAACTGCAGCCGGCCAGCCAGCCCACCTGTCTGTCGGCTAAGGAAACTCCTGGGTGGCTTCCTCGGGCTCTTGCTCCGCTTGGCAGAAAATCTGATGCAGCCCAGCCTCACCCAGACTCTGTCTCTAGCGGCCCCCAGGTAAATTGAGTTTAAAACCCCTGGTTTAATTGTTAAGAACTTACTGTTTTAAACATTAGGTTTTGTATTCGCTCTACATGTTTGAGGTCTCCATTAATAGCTGTGCTGCAAACACCTAACATGGTAACTTTTCTTGGAATTAAAAAAAATTCTACTTGCAGGTTGGCTTTCCCTTGGCTGCAAACTAAGTAATTTTAGATGTTATTTCCTTACATGCAATCTATTGCAAACAATTATCTCACAGTTCTTCTCACTGGATTTGAACAGCAAAATATTGCATTTAATATGAGATAGATGCTTGAAAAAATTCCAGGATTCTATGACAACAGTGAAATCAAAGGCATCATTCTGATCAAAAATCCCCTCACTAAACTCATATACAGAAAGTGATCAACGAGCTTGTATGCTGCACAGGGAAAAATCTGAAAGATTGCAAGACCATATCCAATATTAATGGCATGTTAAAATCTAGTCTATTTTTCTGCCTAGCTATTGTACACAAGAGAATACAAATTCAACTTTGTTCCCTCTTACTGTATATGTCTGAAATATTTGTCTGTTTCAGAAATAGGACTGCATGTGAAATAGAAAAAAAGCAGATGGCTGCTTGTCTGAAGTAGCTCCCCAACAAATTCATGCAGTGTTAAAGTGACAAAGAAATATTTGCAATTTTACACAAACATTTTATCCGTATCATGGTGGACACAAGCCAAATAATATGGGAAGCTCCTTCACATTTATCGCTCCCCACATTCTTAGGAGCCATGCTGCTAATGTGCCTTCTGAACTGGAACAGTTTTCTTGACCTACATCCCTCACTCAATTCTTCTTCCTACTCCCACCAAACCACAACAAAATGACATTTCATCAGGCTGCTCTTCTTTGTGTAGAAGAGCTATAACCGAAACACATTGGTACCTTACTTCCTTGTTGTCTCTCTACTCAAAAAGGAAAAGAAAACCCGGGTTGACTTCAAAGGAGTGAAACTTCGAAGTTTTAACCACTGCTGAATCTCAACTGCCTAATGTTTGTAGAACAAATGGAATGTCTAAGAACTTCTGATCATCCCATCCAATCTTCCTAAGCCTTGTTCTTAGAGTGACCATACCTAGAAATATTAAGAAGGTTGTTACCAGAAACTGAGTTGTCAGTTGTGGCCCCATCTTTGTGGAACAGACTCTCTTGGAGATGTATCAGGCAACATTTGACAACATTTAAAAGGATGCTGAAGACAGAGCTTAGAAGGAAGTGTTCAGAGACATCTTCTCCATTTGGGGGTATTTTGAGAGGGGATCTTCATTCTTTTAGTTTGATTGTTTATTTTGTTACTGGGCTGTTTGGAATTTGTACTTTTCTTAATTGGTGTTTTAATTGTCTCCAAATTAAAAAGTACCTCTTGACAAGACATTCATTGATTTAGAATTGTGAGGATTTAGAATTGCATGCAATGGCATGTAGAGACGTGCTGTCTCAAAACTTTCAAAACCGGAAAATCAACATTTTGCACAGATTGGTTATAAAGTGTTGTCCAGGTCTGAATGTATCTGTTTTTAAGAACAACTATAATTATTTTGTGAATACTTTCATGCGAGTTTCTCTGTCCAATCTATTCTAGACATTGAGAGATGTAATCAGGGCAAATCCCCAGTCTAGACAGCACCTAATTCTTTAGCGTTGATATATATTCTCTCAAACATCTGGACATCTAGTGCAGCAGCTGCTAACATATACATAAATCTGGCAGCATAAGACTTTCTGCTGTATGTTTAATGCAAATGTCTAATTTTATGTATTTTCTGTATTTATATAAATGTTATGTTTTTTAATAAATTTATTTATGTAAATGTTCAACATTTATATAAACATATTGAGAAAGCTATATAGAAATTGAAAACCTACTTTACAAAGCCAAGTAAGTTTCTGAGTGTTTGTAAAACACAACTAAATGACATAATAATACAATAAAACACTCAGGGATGTTAATAAAGGGTGTGAAGTTCTTAACTGAATTGAATATAACCAATTCAGGTTTACACTTTCCATACTAGTAAATGCTTTTTTTCTTGTGTGTGTGTTTTTAAACCAAAGCTAAATAATGTAGCTATAGACTGAGCTCAAATTCAGAATTAAACACCATAATATAATGAATACTATGTCAGAAAAATATGATTATATAAATTAGCAATATCATATAATTAAAGATCAAGAGTATTTCCAGCACATTATAGGAATATGTCTCTCCATTGGAAACTAGCAGAATATACAGATACAGCAAGAGAAAATTTTTCTATCCCCTGACACACTAATCATAATATTCCTTGGACTCAATCTAGGTTTTATCCATATAATTATTAAAGCTTATAGGGAGATAAACCATTTCAGATATTAAAGGAAACACTTTCATTTTTACAAGTCCTAAAATAATGCTGCATAAGGTGAGCCCCAGTTTTCACCAGTATAGATTGATGGGAAGCCTGTCAGTCGTATAATTTACCATCTGTATAAACATCTGTGAGATTTGACTGTGGACAAAGGGGGAGAATAGTTTATTTTTTCTTTAGTATACAAAGGTCATACAGTATAAAAGGCAAGGTCACTTGCTACAGCCCTCTAACCTATGGGGTGCTTGGAGTAATTTGCCTCTCTATTTAACATATAAAGGTAGATATTGTCTAAGTGCTTTGATGTAAGAGCTAGATGGCTACCATGAATGCAGTAAAGATGACAATTTAAATCCTGTCCTTGCATTTTATTTATTAAAAATACTTCTGCCGCACTCTTTAGCTGAAAAAGACTACCAGTGTGTCTCATAAAGACCAATATGGCCAACAGGTTTTTGCCTTTATAATCTAAGACAGTGGTTCCCAACCTTGGGTAACCCAGGTGATCTTCGACTGGAATTCCCAGAAGCCTTCACCATCAGCTATGCTGGCCAGGGTTTCTGTTACCCAAGGTTGGGAACCACTGATCAAACATAAAACGAAATGGGATGGTGAGTGTGAATGAAAAAAAGAAACTCAAAACACTGGATTTTAGACATGTGTAACATCATGCCTGACCACCTTATCTATTTCCTGAGAAATCTGTATGTAGGACAGGAAGCAACAGTTAGAAGTGGATATGGAACAAGTGATTGGCTCAAAATTGGGAAAGGAATACGACAAGGCTGTATACTGTCCCCCTGCTTATTTAACTTATATGCAGAATACATCATGCTAAAGGCAGGACTGGATGAATCCCAAGACAGAATTATGATTGCCGGAAAAAAATATCAACAACCTCAGATATTTTATTTTATTTCATTTCATTTCATTTCATTTCATTT